GCCATCGTTTCAGACTCTATGGCACTATTTTGAAGTCTGCAGAGCATCTGAGAGGTAGGACTTGGCTGTTGAAAGGAGGCCACTAGGGGCAGGCCTTTGAAGACTATCCCTGCTCTGGTTCTTGTCTGCTTTCTCTGCTTCCTGGTCCATCTTCTATGGAGAAGCCAAGGACAGGGTGGAGCTGCTCCTCCCTTCATTCCTTTCCCGCCATGATGAACTAAAATCTTTGAAAAGGTGAATAAAAAATAAGCTTTCTTTTTCTGAAATTGTTTCTGTTAGATATATTGTCACAGAGACAAGAACATTGATTAATATAGAATGCTATATTAGTTTCTACTTCAAAGCACATTATGAAACTGCTACATCTTATTTGTTGGGTGTAGACCATGGCAGTGGTGCCACCATTGGAGAGGATGTGGGTCTCAGTGGTCAGACACTGGCCTGATAGATGAGAGGTGACCACCAGTCTTCATCAGCTTTTGGGGGGGTGCAGATGGGGGAGGTGATCTAAATATGATTAAGATGCATGAAATGCATGAAAATTCAATAAAAATATACATTGAAAAAAATGGAGAAAAAGCTGCTAGATGGGGGTGGTGGTATCCTTCACAGGGACTTAATAAATATGTTTCAAAGAATGTTGAGCACCTAGTATGTCAATAAATGGAAGCTCATCATCATCACCATCATCACCACCACCACCACCACCACCACCACCACCACCACCACCACCACCATCATCATCATCATCATCATCAGCAGCAGCAGCAGCAGCAGCAACAGAAATTTGACCAAACATACAGGCGTATGTCTGACAATGTCTCACTAAATTTGACTCTGTTTTAGGAAAGGAAAACTATTATTCAGCCTCTCACTAAGACATGTCTATCAATACGATCAATTAAAAGTCAGATTCTGAGTTTGAATCAAAAGACCCTTCAAGGGCTAGTTGGGAAGGATTGCTGATCTTTGTGCCTCTGAGGTGAGCCTGGATTGGGACATACACTGCTGTGAGTCTTTCAGAGTTTAAAGCAAAGAGCTTGCCTGGGAGAGATGCTTGTCTTACAGGGGAAATCCAATCCTTGACCCCCTCATAGCTGCTTGCCCAAGATTCTCTACCCTCTACTACCTTGTGTCTCACAGAACACCTTCATTAAGCAAAAGCCATGAATTATTTGGGGACCATGATATATGTTCCCACTGCATGTAACTGCAATTTTCAAAGATATATGTGGAGTATTTGTGTGTGTGTGAACATACACATGTGTATACATGTATGTGGAGGTAAGAGGTCAATGTTGGTTATCCTCCTCAACTGCTCTCCACCTTATTTTAACACAAGATCTCTTGCTTACCCTGAAGCTTGCCTATTTGCTTAAACTGGCTGGCCAGTGAGTTCCAGGATCCTCCTGTCTCGTTCTCCCCAGTGCTGGGATTACAGGTGTGTGCCACCGCTGTGTTGAGCTTTTTACATGTGTTTAAGCAGGGACATCAATGAATATTGTAGATTTCAGGAGATCCATATTCTTGGCTCATAAAAGCTGTGAAGCAATTTAAAGGAGATTTTTTCCATTCACAGTTGGAAGACTTTTTTGAGGGAGCCTCTGGTTAGAACTTGGGTCAACTGCTACTGCTGGTGCATACAGCAGGTCTGTCCTCTCTAATATGGATCCCTGAAATATCAGGAGATCATGCTGAGTATGTAATGTTGCCCTGGTGTTGAACAGACCTGCCTCCACACTTTAGGAATATTCTCCAGATCATACTTGTGGCATTTGCCATAAACAGAAAATGGGGTTCCTAGATTTGGGGGATATGGCTAGTTCCTACATCTCTGAGTGGCCTGATGTTAATTCAACAGTTAACTTCCAACACCCCTGGATTCCCTGCACTCTCAGGTAGAAGGTGGAGGATGGAAGGTGGAGGGTAGCCAGCAACAATGGGACATTTCTGCCTCTCAGAGTAAAAAGAAGAGACCCAAGCAGGAGAAAGGGTGCTGGAGTCCAGCTGAGCTGCTGCCTGGGGGGGATGTGGGTGAGTTCCTTGCTCCCTGAGACTCACTTTCTGGATTATAAGAATACAGAGAAATTCCTCTGTCAGCGCCTCTGTAGCTCAGCCTCTGCTTTCCAGGAGGCCTTCACACAGCCTTCCTGGGATCTTAGCATCCCTTCCCTCTCTCAGTTTCCTCCAGGCCTCAGGAGATTAGGCACAGTCATGGCCCACTCAGATGGTGTATACCTTTGGGGAAAGGGATGGCAACAGGTGGCCCTGTCCCACCAGGGGACAGCTACCCCTAGATTACCTCCCACTCAGCTGTGGAGATCAAGATGCTACCTTCTGAGTTCACACTGGGGAACTTGCATCCTGGCGTTCAATCAGCTAACACAGCTGCTTTGGAATACCTCCCACCTGGTAGAGAAAACTGTTGGGTTTGCGTTCAGTTTGCCTCTTCTAATCATTTGCAGAACCCAAACTCTACTTTCTGGCTGTGCCAATCTTCTTTTGGCCCTCACATATACTGTTCCTTTGCCTGTCTCTGAACCTTGGCTCTTGCTGTTCTTTCTGTTTGATCAACTCTTTTCTTTTGTCTGTTTTCTTGGTGAACTATGTCCCACAAGCTACCCTAGGGTCAGTCACACTTCTTCAGAACCCCCTGTGATATCCAGCCTCCTTATGCCTCCTGTGAGTTCCTACATACAATGGTACATGCCCCATCATATCACATGTCACACTGGCTGGTAAAGTGCGATTTCCTCTCTCAGCCCAACTGAGTTCTGTGGGAATGGGGACTGAATAATCTGTCTTCCTTCATCATCTCTGCTGTCTAACAGGGCAGCCAGTACACAGGATGCTCAGAATGTATTGTTGAGTGGAACTGAACTAATTGTCCTGTTTAGGCTGGGGAGAAAAAGCAACCATGTGGATTCATGTCATGGATCAGAGAAGATCAAGGAGAGAAGACAAGATAAGCTAAGAGCATTCAGGCAGACAGAAAAGAAAGATTATTCCTTCAGTTCAACAGGGGGGATCAGCTAGACTGGCAGGGATTTCTAAGGGGGGGAAAATGACCAGCAAGAGGAAGGCACTGAGGCAGCAAGGTGGAGGTGGCTGGTTAGTGTTCCTGGTGATGTCAGTATTCCCTCCCTTCCCACCACCAGCTTCTCTCCATTGGGCTGTATCCTTGCCCAGACCCACAAGCAGTTCCTTACAAAGGTTGTGGTGAAGGGGCTGGAGTTCAGCAGTTAAGGGCACTGACCATTCTTCTGGAGGACCAGGGTTTGGTTCCCAGCACCTATATGGCAGCTAACAACCATCTGTAACTCCAGTTCCAGGGGATCCGATGCCCTCTTCTGACCTCCATGGGCATTGCACACACATGGTGCACATACATGCATGAAGGCAAAACACTCATACACATTTATAAATAAAAAACAAAAATTCTGGGGTTGACAACTCATTAAACTGCTCTTTACAGAGCTGATAGAACTGACTAGCACCAGCTAGTATAGGCTTCTAGAGGGTTTTACTGATTTGCTAGGTACCTCATTTGATCATCCAGTAAATGAGTTAACAAGAAACATGACTAGACAAAGTTGTCTAAATTCATCAAGATGGAGGTGTAGTCACTTCCAGGGTTTCCTTTAGGACCCCACGAATCACCCTAGAGATTCTTACCTCTATTGTACTATTTCAAAGGATAAGTTGCAACTTTTTAAGTGATCATTGGAGAAGCCCACCTGGTCAAATCATGGGAGTTTCAGGCTGGTGTTTCAGGCTACCCTTGCAATCTTTCAGCAAGGGAGCCCCTCTTCCCACCTCCTTTTCTCCCTATACAGCCAAAGCAGCTGCTGCACTGGGGTCTTGACTTGCACTGACCTTATGGGAAGCACATACACCTAGGGCTTCAAAGCCTGTCCTATTATGTGGATAACATGGCCATTAGTAACCATGGTAACCTCCCTTTCCTGGCTTTTGTGGTTCCACAGGTCTAAATGTACACAGGTCTCGCCCATATGTGAAGGGGTTCCTGGGACTCAAGCAGAGAGGCACCTTCCTTGAGCCACACAAGGCAAAATAGGAAGCACTTTCAAAGCCTTTCCAGTGAAAAGAAACAACCTCGAACCTCCAATATGGTAAACTTGAAATCCGAAAAAGAAAAAGAAAAGATAAATCCTTCTTCATTTTTTGCAGCAATGAATATAGTACACACAGAGGATGTGTTGCTCTAATAGTGTTGAAAAGACTCAAGTATGAACAGGTCTAAAGGCTGGTGTCAAAACAGGCCCAGGTGGCAGTGCTCTCTGCACACAGCCTTGCAAAAACAAGGGCGCAAGACTGTCAGCCCCTATTTTATCCCTCTTTTCAAAGAACCTTGAAAAAGAACCCATCTTCCACAAAAAAATGACAAGTGTGTGTGAGGTACTCATATGCAAATGAGCGCCACTGAATCATTCCTTCATGTGTCCGTATTTCAAAACATACTGTACATGATAAATATACAAGATTATACAAGTTGATCATCCCAAAACTGAAATTCTAAAATACTAAATGCTCCAAAATCTGAAACTTCCAAATGCCAGCATGATGCTAAAAGAGGAAAATACCACACCATGAAATTACATGCAAAATTATAAAACACTGTTGCAATGGAATTACCTTTGGGCTGTGTGTATAAGGTATATATGAAATAAATAATTTTCATAGACTTGAGTCCCAGCCTCAAGATACCCTATGTGCAAATATTCCAAACTCTAAAAAATCTGAAATCTCAAATGCTTCTTGTTTGAAGGGTTTCTGATAAGGAATACTTGACTATAACAAGCCAATGACCTATCTGTTATATATTGATGATCAGTCTCGATACATATGGACAATTAATTTGGAAAAAAAGCACACAGTATCTGAGTCAGCATCTCTGAACCTGCCACCTTTATTAACCCTGTCAATAAGAAAAGGACACTTGCACTCTCCTGTTATCTGGTGTAAACAAGTGGAATTACCTGTCTAGGCTTGGCCAGCCTCGGCTGGGGCGCTGTCAGAGTCTGAGTCGGCTCCTTCTGTCTTCCCTTCTGCTACTCTCTGACTCCAGCTATCCCACTTCTCTGAGATGGCATCCTCCTCACCAACTGTCACCTCTACAAAGTCCACGATGCCGGACTCGTTCCCGTCACTGCCCTGGCCATCTCGGCTGCTGCCCTCTGACCTGTCCGAGGTGGCCTCTGAGGGCTTGCCTGTAAAACAGTCCTTAGCTTGCTCACCACCCACTTTTGCTCTGGGGACCAACTTCTCCAAGTCCTCCTCGTAGAGTGCTTTGGGGTCTTTGTGATATTGCTGAGCCACCTCGCTTCCATTCTTTGGGCTCTCAGTAACTTGTTTTGTTGTTTTTCTTGATACAGCATTGTAACCATGATCATCTGAGATGTGCTGCTGCTGGTACTGCTCCAGCCAATTCAAAGTTCCAGTTTTTTGTAAGCATCTGTTCTCCTTGAACCAGCGCACAATCTCAGTTCGGACCAGGCCTGTCTTGGCTGCCAGCTGGTCGTACTCTTGAGGAGTGGGCCACTGGGTTCTTGCAAAAGTGCTCCTCAGCAGGTGAACCTGTTCTTGACTCTGGGTAATTGCTGATGAAGGGCTGGGCAGAGAACCCGCCAACTGGGCACTGGAGAACTGATCAAGTCGAGATAGAGCACCATTGGGGGCCGCCACATCTGAGCCTTTTTTCCCAGACCCCATGGAATCTAAGACAGCTTGCTCCATGCTGTCTCGAAGCTTCCGCCTCTCAGAGAACCAGGAGTCAATCTCCCTCCTGCTTAGTTTGGTTTCTACCCTTAGCCGATCTAGTTCTGCTTGAGTAGGAAAAGAGCTTTTCAGAAAGCTGTCTTCCAGGATTTTCACCTGCCCTTGGGTTTTCTCTTTGAATTTCTGGGGGGCAAAGTCTGGGTATATGTGGTAGGTGCGGCCATGTCGGGAGGCTGCAATGGCCATCTGGTCTTTGGCAAGGGATTCGCTGGTGATATGGACAATGCCTCTCTGGCACCGATACCGGTGGTCACTGAACCACTTCTTGATTTCACTCCTGGCAAGGCCTGTCACCTCAATGAGCCGGTAAACCTCAGCATCATCAGGGAACTGGCTCTGTAGGAAACTAGCCTTGAGGTGTGCAATCTGCAACTTGGTCTTCTTGCGGTCACAGGTTGGGGTGAGTGGGGTGTTGGCTACCTTCGGTGGGGGCTCTGGCACCTGGGCAATGTGTGGACGCTTGGGCTCTGGGGCAGCTTGGGGAGTCACCAAAGGTCTCTTCTGGCCATGGTTGGTCACTCCAGCCACAGCAAGTGTGATGGGGGAGCAAGAGACAGTTGTTGATCCACTTGTCACCTGAGTCAGCACCAGGCTGGTCTGTCCAAGGATCTGGCATGGCAGAGCTGTCTGGAGGATAGGCTGTGACATCTTTGTGGGGGCCAATTGGGCAGGAAGCACAGTGATGGTCGGGGGTACTGACTGGATGGTGCCATTAAACATCTTCTTCCGGGCCTCTTCCACCTCCTCAGGGGACCAGCTGATACCATGCTTCAAGCGCTGGGTGGCAAACCAGATTCTGATGTGCTCCTCTGGGTGCTTGGAGGCAGCTGTCAGCCAGGACAGCTCAGCCTGGGTCGGGTACGGGAACTTGTTGAAGGAGTTGATCATGGTGGCATTTGTGTCTAGGGCAGAATTGTATTTGGTAGTATTCAGCGGGACGGGGACCTTGGGGACAAGGTTGATATTTGGTGGCAGCTGTACAGAAGGCATGACGTGTCCCAACGAATCTTGGAGGAGTTCCACACTTCCGAGTCTGGAGAGGATCTCTGCTGTGTCTGTCACCAGGCGGGCAGTCCCTTCCACGTGATTTTCGGGGGTTGCCTCCTCAGGCTTCTTGGGCACTTTCTTGGCATCTGCCTTCGGTTTTCCTGTCTTCATCATGGGGGTTTTACTCACCGAGATCCCGGGATCACTCTCACCACTCCCAGAACCGCTAGCAGCGACTGACACAATGTGGTTGGTGGCTTCGATGGACTGTTCCAAGACGGTTTGATTATTGCGTTTGATCAGTTTCAGCTTGAAATTGGTCTCCCCAGGATGGAACTTGGAGTTGTGGTCAGACAAGGAGTCATACTTTTTGGTTGTGAAGTTACATTCGGCACACACGTAGAGGGGGTTGAGAATCACATTGGGGTGCTGCATGTCCACGTGTTCTGTGAACTCGTTCAGGTTTTGTGTGGAGTACGGGCAGTATTTGCACTCATAACCACCCTGGAGTTTTTTGGACTGGTTGTCCCCTGTAGATTTCACCTCTATTACTTCATTTTCTTTGGAAGAGTTTTCAGGTTGTGCCGCCCAGCTGTCCTTGGTCACTTCGGACTGCGGCATACCCATTCCTTTGTCTTTGGCCCTGTCGACCTCCTCGGGCACATCTTGTTCTACCACTTGTGATGTCCGGACCATGCATGGAGTTGTAGATTTTCGTTTGCTTGCCATACTGCCTGCCTGTGAGCAAGAGCTTATGCTTGGAGTGGGCAGGGAGGTGACAGTGAAATTCTTGGCTTTGGGCTTTATTTTCTCTCAGATGCCTTTGGCTTCCCTTGAATGCTGAAGTCTCCCTTCTGAATTTTCAGAATGATTTCAGCACAGAAAATCGTAACTGTACCAATCTCTGAGCAAACCAGGCAGCTTCATATCTGTGGGACAAGAACAAAGACAGAGTCAGTGACTCTTCACAATGCAAAAGAAAGCAGCACTTCTTTTACAGCTGTTCCCATGACCCACCCCAACTGGCACCCAAATCAAATACATATGTAAGCCCGGATGGCAGGAGAGCAGGGGCTTAGGCACATGAAAGGCGATGCTCTCTTCTCTTCTCTGGGAAGGAAGTGAAACCATGGCAAGCAAACAAGGTTGGGATCTTCACTTCATGTTCAGAGACAAAAAGTTACAGAAAGGGAACAAAGGTACTAGGGCTCTTCAGAAGTGCAGAATGGGGTGTGAAGAAAAACTGAGGTATTACAAGATGCTTTTTTATTTCTGCTTGAGGTACGATGATTGTTAGTTTGAGGCCAGACTTGGCTGCATAGTGAGATTCTCTGTGTGTGTGTGTGTGGGGGGGGGAATGAATACAAACATGTTGCTTCTCTCCAAGAAGCAAAATTAGTATATAAAAATGTAGAAAAGTATAAAGAAGAAAAATATAAACTATCAACCCAAATCTATGATTTAAGAGTATTTCAAGTCAGGTATGGTGATGCATGCCTTTAGTCCTAGTACTCAGGAGGCAGATGCAGGTGGATCCCTGTGAGATCAAGGCCAGCCTGATCTACATAGCGAGTTCCAAGCCAGCTGGGGCTACAGGGAGACACTATCTCAAAAACAAACAAACAAACAAACAAGCAAACAACAGCAACAACAACAACAACCCCCCCCCCCCCCCGCATTCAACCCTTCTTTTCATTTTTGGAGAACAGTGTTTTCTGTG